AGGATGATCCGATAAAGGTCTGTTAAATGACGTAAGGGACTCACCTCTTTGTCCTTGGCTTGAAGTTCCTGTTCCAGGTTGCTGTTCGGCGTCCTACGGGAGTTACCCATGTCGTGAACCTGTTCCAGAGCCTGGGGTGTCTGGGGCATTTGTTGCCCCTCAGTCTTAGGGGTGCCATCGCTCGCCGCTGCAAGCTGCTCCTTCAGGGCAGTCACTTCCTTCTCTGCTAAAGTAGCTCTCTGTAACGATAATTCATACGTCGATGTAGAATCACGTTTCTTTGGTTCTGCATACACGTATTTTCACGTTAGTCCGAAGGGCCGCTGCTGTACGAATCGAAAATCCGACACTGGCCGCCTTATGGGAAATACGGCGCCTATGCGCTAACGAAACGAATTGCCCGGCGCAATAGGAAAGGCGTTCGAAACGCGTTGGCTGCATCGGTTAGTTCCTGTGCTTGTTTTCGGTACTGTGTAAATTTTCGTAGGCGCCCCGAGCTGAGGCGATCGTTAAATTAACCGGGAGGCGTGCGACGTGGGAAATCAATCAATCGCGATCCTAATTTCGCGGCGCGAGCGAGAGAGAGAGATAGAGAGATAGAGAGAGAGAGAGTCAATAAAGGAAACGAAAATAGAGCAGACCTCGTGGCACCGCAAGGAAGCAATAACTGCAAGCGATCTGCGTGCGCCTTTCTCCGTTTCTCTAAGAGCACCCTCGTAACCCCCGCGTGGCGAAGTAGCCTCTCTAGAAAGTAAGGGCTGTTGCCCGGGCACGTCTATAGCGCAGGAGGTACGAGAGAAGCTCTCGGCTAGGCGTTAGGCGGCCACCGAGGGCAGGGATTACCTTTTTAAACTTTAACCATAAAATATCTAATAAATATTGCACGGTGCCCCGTAGTCCCGCCCGGCCGCATATTAATTATAGATGCTTTTATATTCAAAGTAGCCACCACCCCGAGAAACCCATCGCCAGACCCCACCCCGGCTCGTCGGCGTCATACCAGCCTGCTCTTCCATACCACGTAACTTTTTATCGATGCCAATCTTCCGTCCCCTGTACCCCCCGTCCGCTCGCATCCCTTAGAAATTTCGCACAATACGCCAGATTCGCACTGACCAGTCTCACTGACCAAAATATCGATCGCCGTAACGAATCGGGTTGCTAAGCTGCTTCAACGTCGGATCGTTCTCCCGGTTTCTATTAACCCACCGCCAGTCCATAGCACACCTATACGATTCGTACCGGTAACCGGTAAGAGACGTGTCGAATGTCACACCGGTTTTGCCCCGAGGGTATTGTGCAACGGCAAAGATAAAGCGACCCCCAAATATATTCCATGGAACAAGGGGTGCCCGTATGACGTCAGCGTGCAAAATATCAAAGCGAATATCCGTGCGAGCCTCGCAATTGAAATCTCAAATCAGATATCGAATCTGTTCGAGAGGTAGCTGCATGACCAGTCAGTATTTATTATGGAAGTAGCCAGAGTGAGGAGAGCAATCCTCCGCCCGCTAGTAATGACCTATTGTTTCCTGCAAAAGCCTTGACGATGTTATCGATAATTACGAAATGATACGGGAAGGCATAAATACATATCCGCGACCAGTAATACACAGCAATTTTAATGGCACAGTCGGATGCGTATCGATAGACGGCCCGGTCACATCCTGGGTATCTGTCATGGCAGCACGAAAATACAAAGGAACGTCACGAGCGCGCTCTGTGTGTGAGAGAGAGAGAGAGAGAGAGTGAGTGAGGGAGGGGGGCCGAGAGGGGGAGAGAGAAGGGGCAAAAACAAAATAATTGAGTCAAATAAAATAAATGGAAATAGCCGGCATCCGTTCGACAGACATATGTAGGTGTTCATTATACGTATACATATAGTACAGGCACGTGAAATTATACAAGAACGAATCGACGAATAATAATAATTAATTATTTACGAAGGATAAGAAGAATTACTAAGAATTTGGGATATCAGGAGTGATCTATGGGAAGTGGCAAAATTATTGGATCGCACAGCGAAATGGGATACGGAGATGTCTTATACAGGGTGGTATGCGAACGTATAATCGAGCGTGTATTAATGCGGTTAATAAAGGTGCGCGATGCCGGTAATATTTTACTGGCGAATTCGTATAATTTACTTTAATTAGCCCCAGATGCTAATTAATGATCTAAACATATGCCGCGCTATATAGATCAAACCGATAGGAACCGCTAGGCGTCAGAAACGTTACTCCTATGGCTCCCAACTCTGTACCGGGGTGAGCATGTGTTTGTCATTAGCGTCTCCGGCGATTATGACGTATCGACTATCTTGGTAGATCGACCGATCCACGCTGATCGATAGCAGATAAAATCTACCGGCTGAGACAGTCTGTAACCTGCTGCTATCTAAACGCACGGCGTTACGTATGGTCCAATGAAAGATCAGTAACGGTACCCGAGGTGACGCTGAACTTTCACTAATTTCAAGAGACAAGGAGAATCGGAAGGAGGTAAAGAAAGGAAGAGGAAGAAAAAGAAATGAGGGAGATAAAAAAATATTTAAAAAAAAAAGAAAAAAAAAGAAAAAGATGAACGAGGAAGGGAGAGTAACGCCAGTGAACGAGAGTTCCGTGACGGGAGACATTACGTTGCCACAAGAAAAGAGCTGAGCGAAGGTCGACTCTGTTATTATAAAGATATTAGGTGGCGTCGATCTAATCGAGGGGGATCAATTATTATTCGCCGCGGTTGCACAGACCCAGTCATCCAGTCAATAATCGGCAACCGTGTCTCCATCTTGGTTTCTTTAATGTATCAACGAGCGTGGAAAAATGATGAAGTAGAAAAAAAAAAAAGGTAATCTTCACTCCACTTTATTTCAAACCTCATTAACTTAGGTTTTTGATGTACAATAATATAATAATAATATAATGACATCTTCCTCGTACGGATATCATGTGCTATGATGCGCAGTACCTATATGTATACCTATAGGTATAATACCGAACCCTTAAGCGTGAACCCAGTCAAGGCTGAGGATTTCCCACCGCGGGTCGCCTCGTTTTTTCCTCCCCCTATCCCCCTCGCGCTCACTCTCTCTCTCACTCGACAACTCGCGGCAAGAAGAATAAGAGCAAGAAGCGGCTATTTCTACAGATGCTCCTCGGGCCCGCGATATATATCTCCCTGTGGGTATTTACTGTATTTAGTGTCGGCACACATGCGAACCAACGGCCTCCGGTGTCGGCATGCGAGTAACAGACCAACAGCTGGCATCGAAAGCGCGAGACTCGACTGTACGCGGTCGTGCCCCGTCAAACGCTGAGCATTCTTCGCGAGATCTAGCAACACTTCGCTGCCAGACTTGTATTCCCGGTGGCAGTGTCGCCGATCTGTTCGTTCCCGTTCTTACTGTATCGAGAGTACATCGAAGCTTCTTGGGTGCCAAGGGGACACACGTGGGTGGGTGTGAACGCATAAAGTATTACCGAGGAGGTACGGTTGATGCGTTGAAAGAGAGAGTATAAAAAGTTAGGAACAAGATATAGATACATTGATAAAGTTAGAGGGTGGATAAGGGAAATATTGCTGGTATAAGATATTGCCGCTTTCTTAATCTTGAAGAATATCATGACAAGACCAGGGCGAATTGGTATTGGTGCTTGGTGATGTTATCAGGAGGTGAGAAATAAAGGAGGAAAGAGGAGGGAGGGGGGATCCAGCCGGTTATGACTGGGTTGGTGGGTGTTATTTTTTTTTAAGGGGAGGGAGGATTAAGGGGTGAGGGTGGCTGTTGCGCCGTCGGAGGAGGTGCGATATTTCAAATTTTCTCATTACACCGCGAGGTGCGAATGATCTTCCCCTTGAGCCTCGCACTACCCCCGAACCCCTCTTCGATCTCGCACCAACCAGCCATCAGAGCGAACCCCTCTTGTATTTATTATTAAGATATCGACCGGTCCTGAGCTCTATAGGTACTGCAGCAATATGCGGCCGATAGCGGTACCGAAACAGCTAAACCATAATTTACAGGGGAATTTTCATGAAAAACTTTAAGCGACTCCCAACCGCGTAGGTTCGGCGCGTGGTTGTGCATCCGAGACACGTGGATCAGGCGTCTGTCAGTTTTGACAGCTGTCTTCGTAAAATCAGTCTGCATGGCTATATAGAATTTTAGTGAAGACCCTTTGACGACCATTCTGAATATGTCAACAAGTGAACAGCGAATAAGAGTAAAGTGAACGGAATCTTGAGAAAGATGAGTATAGCCGTGTCATTAGGTAGATATGTACCATACGAGCCGGAGGGTCCAGTAATATTTAAGAAATGTCAATACACAGGGTGTATGACGTGAATGACGGGCTAAGGGGGCTGACTGGGATTGTGAGACTGAGGTAGGGATGATGGAAGGGTTCGGTCGGATGTTGGGTACGGCGACAATACCCTGTTCTCCCACCCTTCAATCTAGCCCGGAGGCATCGGCTAAAAAATGAAGAAACCTCTTTGATGTTCTCCGCTGTCCTAATGAAAAATTAAAGCCCCTTCTTAAACATCATTAGACACAAGCACTCTTTCAAGTTCGCTCGCTCCTCGAATCCCCGCGTGTCTCCACATATACACGGTGGCCATGTTCCTAGAGGCTCGACATGTTCTTCTTCTTCTTCGTTTGGCTTCCCTATACTATTTCGAAAGGGGTTCATCCGCCGCTCGGCTGCTTCCTAGCTGCACTCTGTGCTCTCGTTAGCCAGATAGCTGAATAGTCGGCTGACTGACTAACAGGGTATCTGTCTACTTTATAATAACAATATGCACTGGGTATATACGCCTATGCGCATTATCATTATTCCGGATGTCGTGACTCTCACGCGAGAAGATTGCGCCTCGTGGGCGCCACTGTACTAATAAATCATTTTCGAAAAAATCATCTGCCCGGGATACCAGGGTTAGGGGGATCCAAGGATCACGAGAATGTCAAGTAGGTGGACCATGTGAGATCCGTAAGCAGATGTACCTCCGGGGTCTTCGTGGAAGTTGAGTTCCCCAATCTCAGGCAGGTAAAAGAAATAAAATGAAAAAAAAAGAAAAAAAAACAGCAGGGAGCCATCCTGATATTCGATAGAGACAAAGATAACTTGTAGCTTTATAAAAGGATGGGTGTATAAGCATAGACGGAGAAGTTTAGCTGGACACGTGAAAGCACAGGGAGAAAGCACTGGATACCGGTGTAACGTGAAATAGCGTTTCGGCA